TGACAAGGAACCACTTGAATGAACTGGCATGAACCTCTGCACTGAGCTTCATGCCCATCCTATTCAGGAATATATCTGAAGAAAATGGGATGATGGGGAGAGAAGATGTGACTAAGGATAATTTGCCTTGGCTCTTTTTTTAAAAATGTGCTGGAATCAGATCTGCAGGGAAAAGGGGAAGAAACAACAGGAAAAAGTCTTTCCAACCTTTCTACTGGGAAGCGTGACAGAGAAAAAACCCAAGTGTGAAATTCACTGAAAGATGATCTAATGTCAAGATAAATGTCAGTGCATCACTGCTGATTCTGAAATACAGTAGTGCCTCGCATAACGAGTGCACCGTTTAACGATGAATCCGCATAGCGATGCAGATTTTGCGATCGCTAATGCGATCGCATACCGATGTTTGAATAGGGCAAAAATCGCTTTGCGACGATCGGTAAGCGTTTTGCTTACCGATCTTCGCATTGCGATGTCAAGGGAACAGCTGATCGGCGGTTCCAAAATGGCTGCTGGAACACCCAAGATGGCTGCGCGCACCGTTTAACGATGAATCCGCATAGCGATGCAGATTTTGCGATCGCTAATGCGATCGCATACCGATGTTTGAATAGGGCAAAAATCGCTTTGCGACGATCGGTAAGCGTTTTGCTTACCGATCTTCGCATTGCGATGTCAAGGGAACAGCTGATCGGCGGTTCCAAAATGGCTGCTGGAACACCCAAGATGGCTGCGCACAGCATTTTTGCGCCCTGCCCTCACTTACTGAGGGCGCGCATCACCTGGGAATGGAAATATTTCTTTAATTACAATTTTAATTACAATTACAAATGCGGGGCACCACTGTAGTTGTGTAAGGTCTACAATCCAATGGCTGAAATCCTGTTGGCAGAAATGTACTCTGCAGAAGTTAGATAACATCATCACCTGGGAATGGAAATATTTCTTTAATTACAATTTTAATTACAATTACAAATGCGGGGCACCACTGTAGTTGTGTAAGGTCTACAATCCAATGGCTGAAATCCCGTTGGCAGAAATGTACTCCACAGAAGTTAGATAACATCATCACCTGGGAATGGAAATATTTCTTTAATTACAATTTTAAAATCCTATCCCCCACCATTTCAGATTCAGAAGCTCCCCATGAATTCCTTTTGCCCTGAGGAACTTTTAGGAGCCTCCATTTTTGGGGTGGGGGGAGAGCCTTTGAGAGCAGAAAATTGCCACTGGTGAATTTGGACAAACAATAAGGATCTGGTCTTGATTTTCTGATATTAAGGACTCTTAAAGGCTTCCCCAGGACAAAAGAGATTCATAAGGAGCCTTGGAACCTGAAGGAAGAGTTAGGACATTTTTAACGCAATTAAATAAATTCACCAGATGGTGACATGCTTGATCTTGCGTGGCATAAATGCATGCCAACAGGATACCAGTGATTGAATAACAGGACATCTTTGCAATGATGCAGGATTGTTCTTCAAACAATATTACTAAAGGCTTCTTGGATTAGATGACATATCACTCCCTGTGAGCAGAGAGAACCTATTTCTGTTGACTCTTGGTTAATTTCTAAGAAAAAGAGTAGTTAAGAGAACAGTACATCTGCTGAGTTCAAAGATACCACTGTAGCACAATAAACCCACAGAGGTCTAAATGGTTGGGCATTATTTAGGCATGATCTGAAGAAGATCAAACAATCTCACAAGGCCTCCAGGTCCAGAGATCTTATGGTGGCTACCATGATGCATGCCATCATGAGATTAGGTATTCTCTAGATCAGTGGCCCCCAACCTTGGGCTTCCAGATGTTCTTGGACTTCAGCTCTCAGAAATCCTGGCCAACACAGCTTTAGTCCAAAAACATCTGGAGACCAAAGGTTGGGAACCACCGCTCTTGAATGGTATTGAGTCATATGGTGTCTCAAATCCCTCGGCTCTAGTACCCCATGAAACTCCATTGCCCTCCTATAAGCAATTTTGGATGTGCCTGTTATTTTTGCATCTATACCTTTCGCTGACAGGTTGGAAATCAAAGTCTGTGTCAGTAACACCAGTGTGAATATTCTGGGAAACGTTGAATTCCACAACATCCTTTAGTATTGTAACTAGGGAGTGATCTTGTTTAGCATGTTTATTTGACTTACGTTAACTAAAGAAAGCAAATAAGTGTCTCCACAGCCCACGAGTATTTGCACAGAAGTATTTGATCAGGAAAAATTAAAATTAAACGTACTCCATGTGATTTAAATGGTTATACTCAAACAAATTCAGAGCTCATTATGACTGCCTGTGAGTAACCAAAGCACTCCGGAGATCTTGTACAAACACACATCCAATTTGGGAAACCTAAATAAAGAAAGGAGACACAGCTTTCTGTCTTTGTTGAAACCAAATGGAACAAACATTAATCATAGTTTTTGTCTTCGTTTGGCCTGGCTTACATGGCCAAAGTACGAATGTATAACTTGATAATTCTTGGGATTGTTTTGTATATTTGTGGATTTATTCTCCACTCCCTTAGAAATCAATAAAGCACATATTGGCACATAGACTTTCCTAATGGTAATGATCTGGCAAACATTGATCTAAATCTGTTTGTTATCCCTAGCTAGAGGCCACCCATTGAATCCATGGGAACTAAATAATAATAATTGCATGTTGTCAAGTCAATTCTGACATAGTGACTCTTTCCAGTTTCTGAATAGAGAATACGCAGTGGTTTTGCCATTCCTTTTTTCTGGGGGCGTCCCGGGATTGTGCAGCTTGCCCCAGGCTACAGAGGCTGTTTCTTCCCCTAAGAGGCATAGGGGGAATGGAACTCCCAACCTCTAGCTAGCTATACCTCTGAAATATCCATCCAGCTAAGTCAACACTTATAGAAATCCCATTGATTCAGTAGGTTTACTCTTGCTGGGAATAAGAGCCGGATTCTTTCAGACCATTGATTAGAATATTGAATCTACTCTTTGTTAGTTCCAAATAGAATCCACCAAAGGAATCGAGAGAATTTGCAAGGCCAGCACTTACCGAGTTGGCACCCATTCATTGTTACTAATGAATTCCCCTAAACAGTATAGGTAGGTTGTATGGAATATATATTTATTCCACCGCTCATCACTTGTCAGTAGATCAGCCAAGTGCAATAGGAGATGGAGCTCCTTCATTCGTAACAATTTTATTGAATTTCCCTCTTCAGATACCACAATTAAAAATGCTAGACCCTTTCTCTTTGGCTTGTCTCCACATCAGTTTAGCCATGGTGAGCTTGGACTGATTGTCTTCTTGCCGTGCTGGTTCCTCTCCATGTGTCGGTCAAGGCCCTGACAGTGGCAGCACTTCCTGTTCCAGATCAAGCGCAAGATAGTAGGTTGCATGTGACATCTCCCAAGGACAAGTCCCAGATCCTAGCAGTCTCTGGACTAAAAGTCCCAGCATCCCTTGGGCAACATGTAGGCTTGAGAAGCTCCGGGAAGCCCACACATGTGGGTTTCTCTTTTGCAGGGAAATGTTGTGACTATCATGGAGACTTTAGAGCTGGTAGGATTAGAAATGTTAAGAATTCTTGGTTGAGTTCTTCCCCTTCGCCCCATCAGTTTTATGCTCGTCTAAACTTGATGAGATACCGCAAGGAAGAATGTTAAAGGTCTAATGAAATTCCTTTCCTTCTTGGAAAGGTGGAAACCAGGAGTGTTCTTTATTGCTTCAGTGTCTCCAATATTTTGCTTAAAATATCTCTGGGCAAAACTAGCATGCTTTGCTTTTGTGGTTGAGTTCTTCCCCTTCGCCCCATCAGTTTTATGCTCGTCTAAACTTGATGAGATACCGCAAGGAAGAATGTTAAAGGTCTAATGAAATTCCTTTCCTTCTTGGAAAGGTGGAAACCAGGAGTGTTCTTTATTGCTTCAGTGTCTCCAATATTTTGCTTAAAATATCTCTGGGCAAAACTAGCATGCTTTGCTTTTGAGAAAAATAGATAGATAGATAGATAGATAGATAGATAGATAGATAGATAGATAGATAGATAGATAGATAGATAGATAGATAGATAGATGGATAGATGGATGGATGGATGGATGGATGGATGGATGGATGGATGGATGGATGGATGGATGGATGGATGGATGGATGGATGGACGGACAGATGGACGGACGGACGGACGGATACAGAGAGGGAGGGAAACCAAAAACAGAATGACTGGCTGATCATCTTAAAAGAGCTGAACAATCTCTCTCATTACATGGAACCTTAAAAGTCCATGTAAAGAAGCCACCGCCATCAGCATTGCGTGACACACAATTAATGCCTTATTTGCACGGAGGCCTTATATTATGTTAATGCATTACTTGCACACTCTTCTGACAATCTCTCTCATTACATGGAACCTTAAAGTCCATGTAAGGAAGCCACCGCCATCAGCATTGCATGACACACAATTAATGCCTTATTTGCACAGAGGCCTTGCTTTCCCCAAGGACTCACACTCTTGTTCTTCTCACCCCTGCAGTGCACCACAACCTTGTATCTTCACAGGCCAAGATGAGACAACTGAGAATGTCTCTTTCTCCCTGACCCACACCTTGTTTCACAGCACTTCTTTTTTGAGAGCAGTTGACATTGTGTCTTATCAAGTTGCTTCCAACTCATGGAGATCCTATACATGAATGATCTGCCACAGGTCCTGCTATTAATAGACATGCTCTGGTCTTCTTTATTAATGCTGTGGCTTCTTTATTGAGTCAACACATCTTGTCACTGGTGTCCTATTTTCTTAGTTTTGAAGGTGGTCTCGTATTTTTGAGGATGGCCACAGGCCAAACAACACCGTTTTGAAATAGAATAGCCAGGGTTTTATGCTGACTCCCATAGAAATGACCTTGATTTTATCCACAGGTGAACAACTGTAGCATCTTGACATTAAAGTTGCTGAGTTTTCTTCAAGTGCTAGAATGTAGCTGAACTATTTTTCTTATTTTTCCCCCCTCTGCTCTCTCTTACAGCCATGAAATCAGGAGGCACTCAGCTCAAACTGATCATGACATTCCAGAATTACGGGCAAGCATTGTTTAAGCCGATGAAGTAAGTGGCAATTAATCTGTGGTGCTTTTTGATGTTATTGAAGCAAATTGGCCAAACTGCTGGCGTGTTCCCTAGACAATCTAGTCCTCAAGCAGGTTGAGCACCCAAGGGGATGTGACATTGTGCAAACAATGAACAACTGCATAGATGCTTGCTTTTTGCAGTGTGAACAACAGCCAAAGAGGGGATCAGTCCAGAGACACAGAAACAGAACTGCAGAGCTGGAAGGGACCCTGTGGATCATCAAGTCCAGCCCCTGTCAAGGAGGCACAAGAGGGGATGCGAACCTCCAGCCTCTGATTCTGCAGCCATGTGACCATGGTGTTGGGGCAGGAAGGCTTTAACCATTTTTCTTGCCTTGCTCTTGAGCCAGATTGTCCCTTGCCATCTTCATCACCACTGTTTGTGTAAGCAGGACAGATCCTCTAAGCCAGTAGTAGTCTACCTTCAAGGGTCCTGATTCAAATTGTAGATCCAAAGAGTGTAGATGCTTTGGATCACCGGGACTTATTTGTGTTGACCTACTGTTTGGCAAGTGAATCAACAAGTTTACTCTAGTTGGGTCGACCAATTAGATTTTTATCCAGATGCTTTGGAATACCCTTCTTGTCATCCCCTTCCAGCAGAACCAATGACCAAGAGGGATGATGGTTATTATCCCAAACATCTGGAAAGTATGTTTACTAGGCCTTGTATGTTCTGGTTGACAAGCACTTTCTGAGATCTCAAGCCAACTTCTTCCTCATCAGCTAGCATGACATCTTTTAGATCATAGGTGGGCAACCTGGGACCGTACAGAAGTGATCAGCCTGAACTCTGAGCAGTCCTTGCCACTGTTGGCCAACGGGGAAGAAGCATGACGGTTCAATGACATCAGGGGGCCTCAGGTTGCCCACCCTTGTTTAACTGTTTGAGGTTGGGGATTGAATTTTGGCTCACTCATCCACTAGGGACGTGGTGGCGCTGCGGGCTAAACCGCAGAAGCCTGTGCTGCAGGGTCAGAAGACCAGCAGTCATAAGTTTGAATCCACGCGATGGAGTGAGCGCCCGTCGCTTGTCCCAGCTCCCGCCAACCTAGCGGTTCGAAAGCATGCAAATGCAAATAGATACATAGGGACCACTTCGGTGGGAAGGTAATAGCGTTCCGTGTCTAAGTCGCACTGGCCATGTGACCACGGAAGATTGTCTTCGGACAAAACGCTGGCTCTATGGCTTGGAAACGGGGATGAGCACCGCCCCCTAGAGTCGAACACGACTGGACAAAAATTGTCAAGGGGAACCTTTACCTTTACCCATCCACTAAGCTGTGTCTTTTTGTTCCGTGGTAGAAAGTGGTTGGAACGGAAAACTCTAAACTAGCTTTATGTATGAACAGTTTGAGGTGGAAGTGAACCAGGATGTAACTGCATTTTTTTAATCTTCTACTGTATCTGCCAAGATGTTGTTGTTTGGCTTTGTTTTTAATTTGAAGACATAATTTGTGCAACCTGCAGCCAGCGGGAGAAAGAATAGTTTCTTTGGTGATAAATACAGTGGGCTTGATTTTCTTCTGATTGCTACCTGTGAAGGGTTGACCTTAAAGCTTGTCAAAACTAGGATGGTGTTTTTCTTTTAAATGTGCAACGGAGGTCTGAATAAAAAGTGGAGCTTTTCAAAGGTGGAAAAAAAAATAAAGGAAACATTATGTGTTTATCGCTGAGGGTTTAGCCGAGTCACTTAAGGCAGCGGAAGGTTTAACATCGCTATTCAAGTATCCGTGTCAAGGCATCGGTGGAATAATAACCTCATTTCTGTGCTTTGTTTCTCCTATATGGAAGTTCAATTATTGGTTCCTTGTAAACGGGTTTGTAAAGCAGGTGAGTGGGAGAGGATAAGTGGTTTCAAGGGTCTATTTAACATTCTGCATATATGCTTGCCAAAGCATAAGCTCTGTAAATGAAGACTACAGAAGGTTACGATGCTTCAGCTCTGAAAAAGGCAACTGGTGGGGCTCAGTTGTCATGATTCTTGGTCCTGATGGTGTTTCCTTCCCTCCCCTTTAGACACAAGGTCTTAGTCGTGATGGAAAACTTGTGTTTGTGGCTCTTGATGAGCTTAAGACAGTGATATAGACGTGTGGATGTCACTCTTTGCTTACTTTGTTCTTGCTCATGAGAATGAAACATGGAATCATGGACTAATGGAGTCGGAAGGGCCCTCTAAGGCCATCAAGTCCATCCCCCCCCCCCCCCCCCCGGGCACAAAACCAAAACAAACCCACTACTNNNNGCAGGAATCCAAATCAAACCAGATCTGAGCGAGGGTTGTCCAATTTCCTCTTGAATGCCTCCAGGGTTGAAGCTGTCACCACCTCCCACGGTAATAGGTTCCATTGTCATACCGCTCTAACAGTTAAGAGTTTTTTCCTGATAATCAGCCTAAATATGCATTCCTCTATCTTGAGCCCACTATTATGTGTCCTGCACACTTTTTGCATATTCAGAAACACAGTGAGAGATGTTTGTTTTGTTTTCTCAATTTTGCCGATGTAGATGGATTATGTGTTGGCCTTTTTGCTCAAGATCCGAGTGGTTCACCATATATCTCGGCGAGGTGCCAGAAGTTTTTGAGACCTCCATTTTTTTCTCTTTCTTGGTTGAGAACGGGGAGATGTGCAAGCCTTTGTTACAACTCTCAATAGACTCATTTAATGAAAGAGACTTGTTAATCTGATTCCTGCTCAAGTACTGTTGATTGATTGGGTCTACTCTGGCCTAACGACCTTATTTGGTGTTGTATACTGAAGAGATTTCAGCAAACAGAATGTGTATGGATGGGAGTACATGTGAGTCAGTGCATGAGTATCAGAAGGATTTGCACTGAGCCCAAAGGTGGTGCAACATCTGCTTTCCTTCAGGCAAAAGAAGCTGAAGTTCATATCCTTCCACGTCCACCTGCATCTTCAAACAAAGCTATTGTTGAAAGTTCTTCTCTTTCATTATTTGTTCTGCCTTGCTCTTTCATTGACACGTAAGCAGCCTGGAAATAGAGCTGATGCATTATATTGAGCTAATATTGTTTCTTCTAAATGAATTGACATATTTTTTTTTGAGAACCGCCATGGCGAGAGAAGAATTCCAAAGGTGTCTGTGCACAGAGATGCTTTTGCCCCTTCTGCTGTGTAGGAGTTGGTCAGGCTGACGATGCCAGCTAAAATCCTGTTGCTTAGCATCATAAGCCACAATTATATTAGGATCATTGAATCAACAGAACATATGGAGGAACTAACTCAGCAAATCCCCATTGACTCAGTGTGCTTGCTCTAGTTGCAAATGACCACACTGAGCAACAAGATTTCAGCTTCTGTGTCCTACTGCAGTACTTAAGTTACTCTTCTTCCTCCGCCACATCCCAGAAATACATGTTTATCTGAAGGAACTACTAAGTAAAGAGATCGGTTTGAAAAGAATCGAGAGGGCTCACCCTGCATACACTCAGATAAGCTCTGTCATCCCCTTCTCCTCTTGCCTTCACACTTTCCCAACATTAAGGTCTTTTCCAGGGAGTCCTCCCTTCTCATGAGATGGCCAAAGTATTGGAGCCTCCGCTTCAGGCTCTGTCCTTCCAGTGAGCACTCAGGGTTGATTTCCTTTAGAATTGATAGGTTTGTTCTCCTTGCAGTCCAGGGGACTCTCAAGATCTTCCTCCAGCACCACAGTTCAAAGGCATCAATTCTTCTGCAGTACTTAAGTTACTCTTCTTCCTCTGCCACATCCCAGGTACAGAAAAGGCTGAAGGAACCACTAAGTAAAGAGATCGGTTTGAAAAGAATCGAGAGGGCTCACCCTGCATACACTCAGATAAGCTGCTATCTTTGTATGGGTGGAATTTCAGCTGAGCTGCTGGCTTTGATTTCATGAGGGTTATGAATCGGCTGCAGTCTAATGTCTTGGTCTCAGCTTCATGGGAGCTCTCCGAGGTGCTGAACCCCACTCCCTGAAAAAGGTACATCATCTTGGATTGCTCCTGTGATGTTCAGACAAAAACAGGAGTGACTCCATTACTTGCACTGAAGTTCTGTTGACTCTCTGCATCCTCATGTGGATGGGATTTTGACCCAAGTTTTTGCATCTTCTCCTATAAGCCATGCTCTTTCTGCAGGAGGCTTCTTGACTTCATATATTTAGAAAAGTTGTTGTCTTTCCTATGCGGGGAACTCTTAGCTTGACTTTGTGGATGTGCTTTGTTGTATTGATGTTCTACTTCATGGGCAGAGGTCACAACCCCATCCATACATAACCACTAGATGGGGTGGTTGTGTATGGACAGTATAAACTACTGACCTTAGCTTATGGTAAGGGCTAAAATAACAAAGAACTCTCTGTGTGATGTGGTAGCCACTTGAAGCATGGAGGTGCAGAAACTCAGGACCCCCATGATTAAGGACATATCTTTGCTAGTAATCTCTCCCTGTTGGAGAAAGAGAACCATTTTTAGACTAGTCTTTACAACATAAGTAGTTCCAGCAATGCTGTTTTTAGTGTTTCATTGTACTCATATTATTTAGTGTGTTTACAACATTTCAGCATCTATTTCTGTTCAACAACCTGGTCTAATTCCAGCTCCTGATTCTACTCAAAGGAGACCTATTGAACCAAATGCTGAATGGCAGGTGAACAGTGTCATATGTCTGATGCATCCAGTGGGGCTGGGCTTTTCAGTGTTTTCTTTAAGGAAAGGCGGGATATAAATGTTGCAAACAGAGAAGGGACAACTTAAAAGCAAGCAAATGAAACAATTACAATGATAAACACAGCCTTTTCTTAATTGTCTATAATAAGCAAGTGAAAGGTCCACCCAATGTTGCAGTTTGTATAGATCAGCATTTCAACCAGCTATTCTTTTCCAAAAGATTTTGAATACAGTCGTACCCTGCTTTATGATTGCCCCATATAACGATGAATCCGCTTCATGACGATGTTTTTGCAATCGCAATTGTGATAGCAAAATTATGTTTTAATGGGGTTTTTTCGCTTTGTGATGATCGGTTCCCTGCTTCGGGAACCGATTCTTTGCATTACGACACAGCCAATCATCGGGTTTTCAAAATGGCCACCGGCTGCTCAAAATGGCTCCCTGC